TTTGGATGTTAGCATAACCTGTTCTAGCAAAACTTGTATTAGTATCATCTCTACTGAGAAGCAAATGCGACCATCAGGATCTAGCAAAAGATCCTAACATGCAACTGAAGTAGTAATGAGAGTAAAATAAAGTCAACGTACTTATGCCTCCCCTTTCTTGAGAGATTGAAAGCGAGAGTAAAGACATTGCAAGGCCTCAATTGCCTCCTTTTTAAAAGAATGAATACGAGTTCAAAGGGTTCAGTATTCTACTTTTTTTGCAACAGGGAAAGTTTTTAATGTTTAATCAAGTACGAAAAAGATTTAAAGTCAACAACTCATGTATTTATTTCTGGACTGAAAGTTTGCCCTTCCCAGGTTCAAGTGTGTTTAGTTGGTCCCACAAAATCATGCGGTTAAAAAACCTGTAAACTGCAGGATCTGTTACTTTCATTTTCTGTATAAGTGCTACCCCTCAGTCCTCCTCCTGCTCTTTGCTCTCTGCAGCAGTGAGGGTGGGGAACTAGTGGGGAAAAAAATTATAGTTTCAGAGGTGCCACGAACTGGGGCTTTAAGACATGCAGCAATTACTGAAGTGTAGAACAATATCATAAAGATTGGAAATACTGAGAAAGAAGATGTAGTTCATCATATGATTCTATGCTTTTTTTGCCCAGAGGTGTAGGAGAGAGACAAGCAGGCTTATTTAAAAAATAATATTATAAAAATCCCAGAAATAGGAGTCACTCATTGAATTTGCATTCAGTTTGCTGTTTCATAGTAGAAGCAGAGGAGTTAAAACTATAGGCTCTGCCAGCCATAAGAGAAATCTGAAAAGAAAGGAGAATTGAGGCAACTATGCAGTTTGTGTAGATGAGAAGGTTCTGACTTGTGCTGGTACAGCAGGTTAACGTGCTCATCTCCACTGTTCTGGGGAGGAAGCACTTAAATTGGGAAAGCATAAGCAGAGAAATGAGGAAAGACACCTTGAGTTAAGGAAGTAGAGTATGTAAGATAACACAAGAAGGAAAACTAGATTATAAAACAATACAGTATTCTCTACAAACAGTTGCTATAGAATTATAAGGCAATTGAAAGTGCCCATCAGTTAAGAGCAATCAAGACCTCTCAAGATACTAAAACTAGAGTTTTTTTGGTTGTGGAGAAACAATAGAACAGTAAAAATCTTAGTTGCAATGCAGCTTGAGTGCATAACTTGGGTAGCATTGTTTGTAAAATCCAGCTTCTGTAGGTTTTTAAGGATACTTTTAATTTTAAGCAGAGTAGAGCTCATGAATATCACCCAGTAACCTGTCCTGATCTACAACATCTGTAGAATGTTACGAAATCTTGCTCTGAATGATCTGGGAAGTCTGTTACTTTCTGATCATTACATCCAGTTCACTTGTTGTTCATCTCTTAACTTTTTTTTCCCCGAGTAACCACTAGTGAAAACCAGTGACAATTGCCAAGTTGACAACCAGTTGACAAACCATCAACAGCAAAAGTCATGGTGCTTCTTTTTGATTAGTACAGGATATGAGTTATTACCAAAAATGTTGATGATGTATAGAAAAAAGAGAGATTTGGTGCCCTGCTACCTTCCTGTTTTGCTCAAATCTAACCCTTCTTTCTTTGTGTCCTTTTTTTTCCTGATTTTGTGATTTATTTTTTTTTTTAATTTATGATTTGAAATGCAAGTCAACTTTTTGCTTCTTTACAAACTCTGCCTTTGATTATTTTTTTTTTTAATTTACTTATTTAAAATGGAGTAGGTTTTGGAGGGATTGAATGGCTATTTTCAAATTTTCCATTAATTCCTGACCTGCAGGTAGCAAGTAAAGTTAAACCTGTTAGTATTACTTTTTTCAGATGGTTTGAAATTTGGGGGGCGGCGGGGGCAGGTTTCCTTTCATAGGTCTTCAAAACTGGCCTGTGTCAAAGACTGATTTGATACAGAAACATAAATGTATTGAGAGCGTGTTACTTAAGTAGGCATTGTAGTCTTAACAGATCTCAACTATTATATTGCACATAGTGATAGGCAACCTAAATCTAAAAGGGACTTCTTAATTTGGAAAGACAGGAAATGCCTAAAAACCTAAAGGAAAGCTGCCTTTGAACTGCATTCATGAGCAAAAAGAAACATAAACTATCTTTAAGATGAATTGAAAACTTAACTTCAAAGCAGATTGTTTCAGTAACAATTACTATTATTTATGATATGTGTCAGTAACTCTTTGCTTTTTGTTAAGTAGTGACTGGATGGCATGAAAGAGAAAAATTATTTGTGCCAGCAGTTAAAGCCTGGGATCCTGACCCTAGTTTATATTTTGGTAGCTAAAAATGCCCATCTTTATTCACGGAAAATACAGATTGATTTAAAACAAAAATCAAGTTTATGAAGTTTTCTGAAATAGTAATATGAAAAGATGCAGAGATCTGAAAAGGGGAGTTTTAAAGCAGGTATGTCTGCTTTTACTTTCTGATTGTTGTCTGGATTCTGACATTTTTAGTGACTAGGGTGGTAACAGTGCAGAGTAAGATTCTGTTTAGTTCAATGACATCAACATCCAGTTTTCTGTGTATTGTTAAATATACACAGGCATGCTGAAATAAACTTTTTGTTGGCTTTGAAATACGCTAATGCTAGCATTCTTAAAACACAGAAACTGCTTACTTGTTTTGTAAGTTAGGAGATATGTCAGCCATTAAGTGAAAAACACCGGCTGTACCAGCTTTGGGTCACACTGGGCAAGGGGAGCTGTTAACTGCTGAAGTTCTTTGCTGAAGAAATAATGACACGAAGAAAACTTTTGTACAAATGTTGAAATTCATAATGAACATTACAAAAAAGTAAACCACCATGGAAAAAAAAAAAGCCTGCAGATTTTCTTAGTTGTAGGAATTGAGAATTCTTGGAATTGTAAAGAGCTGCTGCAAAGGTTTTAGTTTGGAAAAACATCTGGGTCAAGAAGACTAGTTTGTTTTGTACTATAATTATTTTGTTTTTAACAGTTACTGAATTGTGAAAACTCTAAGATCCAGGAATTCATAATGCTAAGTTTTCTTCTGTAAACTGATGATAGAACCCTATTTTAAGCTAGCAGTCCAGCGGCGATGAGGTGTTACCCCGTCAGATCAGGCCGTTGATAGCTACTTTGAGTGTATGGGTTTTGCATTCAGCTAATTTTTTCAGACGTATGGGCAGAATTCCTCGCTGCTTTCTTGCTGCCTTCTTCCCCAGCCCTCTTCCAGCCTCAGTTGAGTCCTGGAATAATCACATGTGAAGACTTTTGTTTAGATTTTTTTTATTTTTGAATGGCAGAGGACTCATGCTATCCCTCAGTAACTCTTCTTGAAGAGTCCTTGTGGTGCCGTCCTCAGTCTAGGCACAGTGACTCTCTCCGGCTCTGACTAACTCGAGACTGTTCTGAGCTTGAATGATGAGTGATTTCCTACAGTTGCTTGAGACCTGAAGCCAATCCTGAAAATACAGTGTGGTGTTCAGTGTATTTCTGAAGCAGGATTTTAATGATGTTGTAGGAATACAGGACAATATTTGTAGATAAAAGGAGATGGAAGGACTATCTCTTTTAGACTGGTTTGTCTGGCTGTGGGGAGGGAAGGGGACAGGACAAGCCTTTGGCCCTGCAAACCCTTCTTCAGTGGGATGGGGTTTGTTTGTTTTTTTGAAAGCTTGTCTGCTATCTAGGGTTGGAAAAGATACCTCCCTGCAAATTCTGTCCTGCCTTTGTCCTTAGATTGTCATGGTTACCGCAGCATGCCGTTGGAGGAGTACAGAGACTTCTTAATCTTCAGACCTACTTGAAGCTCGAAATACTGACTTAAGCTCACCATTTCTTTTTAATTAAAAGTTTGAAAAGGTTTTACTGTCATCCAGCTTCCTTAATCTGAACTCTCCTGTATGTACTGCTCGTCCAGTCTTCTCTGCATCTCAGTTCCCTGTTAACGGCGTACGGGGTAACCAGCAAACTCTGTTCCCTGCCTGTTTGTCAGGGATCTGGCAGGGAGGGCGCGGAGTGGAGGCACAGGCAGCTTCAAGCCTGGTGTTTCAGTGGGTGTTAACAGCTTTCAACGTTGTCTAAATTGCAAGATCTACTGCGCAGAAATTGATTGTGTGATCTGTAAGATACGTGACCTTCCATGATTTTGCATGTTGACATTGCTAGCCGGTTCTTAAGGAATTTGAAATACTGAAATCTCTGAAAAAGAATGAATTACTGGTTCACGAGTTCTTTCAGTGTCTTTGATTAATCCAAACCTGGTCTTCCCTTGGTCTTACTGTTTGCCTTCACATCCTAGCTGGAGTTAGGATGAAGTTAGCAATCCAGTCTCAAATTCCATGTTTTAGGTTTTTATGCACCTGACATACATGAATAGACTTCCCTGTCAATGCTATATGTAAACTCAATTTTTGTGAACCTGAATGTGATGCATGCACTTTCTTTTTTTTTTTTTTGGAAGCTTGTACAGCTCTCTGAAAATTTTAAGCTAAGAAAGGCTATTTCTGTGTACCTGTCATAGGCACTGTTAAAGCAGTTGTGATGTGGAGGTCGTTTCTCAATTGCTGTTTTACTGCCGTGTATTTCTAGACTTCAGCTGTATCTCTTGGATATCTATTTCAGGCAACCAGCTCTTAGAATCCCTTTTTTGATAACTATAACTTGAGAAATGTATTAATTATCTATTGCTCCCAGTTAGATTTTAAAAAAAGATCTTAAATTAATTTTCCTAACTTCTCATTAGTGAACTGAAGCATTAATAATGTCAGCTATTAAATTGCAGAAGAAATAATTATGTACTTTGTCACAAAGTTCCAGTAGGCTTGTGTGCTCTGTTTCATTATTCCATGCGAGAATAAAGTTTTTGTTCAAGCCTGAGTAGGAAGTAATATTATCAGCTTTTAATTTGGTCATGGAATGTAGTCTACGTAGATGTGTGCGGGGAAAAGCTTGCTTAATTTGAGCTTGGAAAGTAACACTTATTTTGTTTGGCAGACAAGATCATAGATGAAGGACATCTAACCAAAGTGGAAGAAACAAAGCTTTTGAAAGGTTAGACTTCTGGATTATTTAACTGTTTTTGAAGCATGTTTTTAATGTCACTTCAGTGCATGTTCTGTCTTAAAATAGCAGTTTGAGTTTTGTTGAATACTCACTTAAGAAAAAAATCAGTAAAGGGGAGGTATATTGTTTACTGAACTCTGCTCCAAATACTATTGTAGGGTAAAAAGATGTAAAGGAAACAATTTTTGACGATTGAGTGCATGAAATGCTAGTCTCAGTCTTGACTGAGTTCTTACCTGAATGTGCATTTTAAAAAAAAAAAAAAAAAAATTTGTAAATGGATTTAAATTTTTAGTGCCTGCATAGATTTCAAACAGTTTTTTGTAGGACTAGATAGAAATAATGTTTGGTCTCATTTGAAGTTTTAAATAGAACTGTATTTTAATTTTATTTTTTTCTGACTTACACACTCATAACTTGAAAAGAACTATTAACCTCTTAAACATGCCTTTTCCAGATAAAATACATCTGTGCAACTCTAACTCTTTTCTCTTCTGTATAAAACTAATAAAATATAAGGAGCTAATTAGAAAAGATTTATCTTGTCAGGGAACAATCATCCTTATCTTGCAGTGCCAGAATCAGGAATGCTACAAAGTGTGTAGATCAGTATTTCCTATGTGTCTAATAATCTTAAGATTTTTGGACTTGTAGGCTGACTCCACTGTTGTAGCTTTTTATTGAAGTCTAGACATACGGACTCATTTCTTTACCCTCTGTCCTTCTGCAGAGTGTTATTGCATTGAATAAACGCTGGCTTGTTAAAAGTGCTGGTATTTTAGAGACTTTTCAATTTGTCTTCTCTTACCTTAATGTATGAAATTGCACCTTTAATTTGTTTCCGTACGTAAGCTATAGACAACATGCCATATTTGGCAAAAGAATGCATACAATAACCGTAACATAACACTTGCGTGCCAGTTATCCTGCGAAGCGGTGTGCTATTTTTAGTGTTTGTTAATATATTCTAACTCATCAAGTAAGTATGATGTCAACACATTTTAATATACTTCATCATTTTGGCTATATTTATTCAGCTCGGTTTTATTATGGGAAATAGAGGCAACTGCTGTGAAATAATACAGTACAGGAAAGAGCGTTGGGCTTGTGAGTGCTTCCAGAATAGGAAGCAGGTTTCGGAACCATTTCTCTTTTTGCCTTCTGCTGTTTCAGATGTAGAAGCGGATGCGTCTTTCCTCTAGTGCCCGGTCGTGTTCCTTGTTTCAGGGGGAGGAGGAGAGGAGGGAGGAAAAAGCTGATGTACCCGAGGGCGGGTGGGAGAAGGAGTACGGGAGGGAGGTGGGGAGAGGGAGAATTAATTCAGCGGTTGGTTGGAGCTTGTGCCGTGCCTCCCGTTCCTCGCGGAGCAAGCAGGCTGTGTGTCCGGGTATGACCAGATATGGTAAAGTTAGTTGGATACAGATATCGCTCAGCTTAGCACTTCTGGATTGGCCACTACCGGAAGCGACATGGGTGAGGCTTTTAGGTTATACTTTTCTTGATCCTTTAAAAAGAAAGTAACTTGGTTTAGTAATTATTCCAGTTTTAATGGCAATCTTGTGAGTTTGATTCTGTATGATACGTGTGAAGTGCTTTGTATGGTAACATCTTCAGATATTAGTTAAAAACTTTATTCCTAAAAATAGGGAAGTACCCTTTTTGTTTTAGCAAAGGACCACCCCCAAACCTCAAATTTTCAACTACTCGGGTCAGTGTGAGCTTTGAAGCCATATGAGATAGGTTCAGAATAGCTGCCAGGTCCAAAGCCCTAACGTGCTTTGAGCGTACAGGTGCTTTCCCCCTCTCCCTCTGCACTGATTTCAGTTACATTAAGATAGGAAGAGTCTGGCTCTTGATCAGCTGCTTTGTTTGAATTTGCCGCCTTCTGTTTCATGTACCAGTGGATGTTATTCTGGCACGGAGAAATGGAAAACTCTTCATGTTAGATGAAGAGAACTTTGTTGTTGTTGTTGTTCTATTAACCTGTCTGTGTTTTGTCATCTTGCGAATTTCCCAGTGTAAGTGCACGGGTTGGCTTCAGTTCTCGCTTCCTTGGGCTTGGGGTTTTGTAGCTCTGTCTGTTCTCTTGCTACTTGAAAACAATGCGCACAAGCTTTCTCATGACTCCTTTCGTTTTTACCTATTTTCATATACTAACCCTATTGGTATAACACGATTTATTTATTGCTGTGCATCTTTCTTCCTCTGTCCTGGTACTTATTTGTTGCACCTACAGTACCTGTATGTGAAGAAATTATTTGTGTTCACTGTGCTTTCCTGCATATGTGGTAGAAGTAAATTCTGTATACTGGGGATGTTGTGATGATGCCTTTTTATCTCTCTCTCTCTCTCTCTCTCTCTCTCTCTCTACCTGGACCTTGTGACTCAGAGGAGACCTCTATTAATCTGTGGGTGGGCGGCAATGCTGTTAAAGCAAGGCTCTGCACAGTCAGCCAAGAAAGACTTCCTTATGTATAACCTCGCCCGGTTATACATAATGGTTCCTCGGTGACAAACGTACTGGGTTTGCCCACACGGGAGATGGTGTGCCTTTGTTTAAAGGACCTATCAGTACTAAAACGGAACTGTTATTAAAAAAAAAGAAAGAAGATGACAGCCTCAAAATTTGTTTAGACTCTGAGTCATGGATACTTCTGTGTAGGAAAAGGGTGCACTTGTATAATTAAGTCCCCTCACCTTTTGAAAATGTCTGGTCTCCATTAAAAAATCTAGAACTGGTAAAAAAAAAAAAGCCAAAACAAACAAAACAAAACCAAAAAACTGTGTGGCTTTGCTAAGCTGCATGTAATAATGTGGTGAGTTGTGTATGAACAGGTATTTCATGAAGGTATTTTTTGGTGGAAAGGACGTAGACTGCCTTCACTTAATACAATTTGAACTGAAAATTCTTTTTAGGAATTAGTGTATTAATTTGTATTGCTGTGATTCTTTACTGGTTCATATGACACTTTGTTTTAACAGTACAGTATATACAAGACTTGTTGCTATTATTTTATTCATCCAAAATACTGAAGCACGGTTGTATTCTTAATAGCAGTTTCTTTCTGACTGCTTACAGTATCTGCATTGTTCTAGTTTTCTTTTCTTGTTTGTTCCCTGATTGAATCAGCTTTTGCACAGAGTTCCAACTGGCAAGAATACAGCTTCAAACAAAAGTTCAAGCTGTGCATGAGGCAGTTGCATCCCCTATTAGATGCTAGGCTAGATTAATGACTTCAGTGATGCTGAATCCATTTTAGCCCAGGCTTACAAAGAAATAAGCAGCCACCAGCTTTTCAAGTGTTTCTTCAACTGTGGTGTTTTCTACTGACATTTAGCAGTAATTAAATAGATGTATGGAACAAATTATGATTAAGAGACTGAACAAAGCATTTACTAATTGTAGTTGATTTCCCTTGTCTCTTACAGAGAATCAAGGAAGAGTCAAAGAATCTGATTTGTCGGACACTCTTAGTCCAAGCAAGGAAAAAAGCAGCGACGACACTACAGGTAAGCGTTTAACTGAGGTTTCCGTAACATATAATTAGTTTGAATTAAATCACTTAATCACGAGCATTTGCTAAAAGAGCGGAGAAGGCATATATTACGTGGAGCCAGATACAAGCTTAAAGCAGTGTTGTCTCTTTTGTGACTTCATGATTAACTGTTGTAAAGTGAAAATAACGTAAAAGCTTCTCTTCTCTTAAAGAACACGTATATGAAAACTGTCTGCAGTCTACCTGCTTTCTGAAAGGTGTGGGGGTTTGTTCGTTCTTTTCAGATGCCCAAATGGATGACCAAGATTTAAATGAACCTATTGCTAAAGTAGCTCTTTTAAAAGGTAAACAAATTTTCTTTTTGTAACTTCAGATGCATAATCTGTATATATATCTTTTTGTCTACTTGTTTTTTATCAAATGTGCGTTGAAGTAGAGTGCTGAAATTCAAATGTTTTAATCATGGTAGTACGGAAGAGTTGCATTTAAATATCAATCATGATTCCTTTGGGTGTTGTTATATAAAAGCATACTTCTAAGTGTTAGTGTAGAAATAATTCATGCTTAAAGCAAGTTTCTATACTCACCAACACTGTTCTGGGAACTTACATGTTATAACTTCAAGTAGAGTTGAGAAATAGTTTCAGCATACACTTACGTTAGGGCTAATAGCTGTGGGGAGGAAGGATTCTTCCACCACTGACATGTTTTAAGCGCTGCAAAATTTTACTTGTATAGTTTCCATCACTGTCAGGAATGCTTCTGCTAGTTTGTACCTGATGGGTTAAAAAGAAAATCTAAATTTTTTTTTTAGTTAGCACACTCAAGATTTGAATTTCCTGTTGTAACTGTATTTAGAATGTTTGCTGAGCCTTAGCTTTTAGCTTCATAGCTATAAAATTAATTTTTTTTACTGCTCTTGGCACTGAAGGCATGTACTTAAAACTTGGTTAGCAAGCTAATATTTACATATTCATGAGCTGAAAAATTTTGTGGGATATTATTAGTTGTTACATTTAGCATACTGAAAGTTAATTTTGTGCTTTATGTACAATTAGACATTTGATAAGATCCGTAAACTGATGCTTATGTTGGGATTACAAGTAAAAAGGATGTCGCAGTTCTTCATGGTTCAGAAAGACAGGAAACAACACTGAAATTTAGGAGACCTGTAAAAGAGGTTTTTTCCTATAATTGTTTACACTTCTTTAGTTTTATGACAGAAGGACTTCCAAAACTTGCATCTATTATATATGTTTCCAAACAGCAAAACTACAATTGAATTTTATGTTTTCCAGTGGATACCACCTCAGCAAAGCAGATTAAAAAGGAGAGTTTGAGATACTGTGCATGGTCCATTTGGGTTTTACTCTAATGTCTGCAATTAATAACAAGTATATTCAGTGTCTTCCTTAGAAGGTAGAATCTCGTAATGACGTTCGTAGTGATTATGATTTCGGTAATAAATTTGGGTTCAGCAGCAAGTTTTATTTGAAAAAAAAAAGTTTCAGTTGAACGGCATGATGTTCATTAAGTATCAGAACTTTCAGTCCAGAATGGGATACACATTAAGGAGTTTGTTTCCTGTGAGCATTGTCACATGCACAGAATTCACAGCCGGAATAACCCTTTGTATGTAAACAGTACAGCAGAGAAACTGCATTCAGCCAGCTCATGTCAAAATTACGTTAATTCTAATTCTTACAGTTTTAAGGTAGCCAACTGAAGACTACTCTTAATTGGCTGGATTTCTTAGTTATCTTCTTGCAGACACATTAAAAGTAGTCCATGGGGCCCTGAGGCTGAAACCACTGATTCCTGAATTCTCCTTATATGCAAGTGAAGTCTTCCTGCGTTCTGCCAGAAAGGTTCGCGCGGCAGCCCAGGGCCACGACAAGGCTGCGGGGAGCGTGCTGCTTCCTGGATTAAACAGTCTCATGTCGCGGCAAGGGTCAGGTGTAGTTACGCATTTTCTCTCCAGGGTATATTAAACTGGCAGGGAGGGTTATTTGAGCTCTCAAAGGACTAAAATCAAGTTTTCTGTGGTAACGTGGAAGCAGTCTTTTGCTAATGTGGATGTTTTCATTGCTTCATCTGTCTTTACTCAGTTGAAGATTTAAACCATAACCATTACTGAACTTTTAAGTGAATAAGTAGAAAAACACCTATTTGGATAAACCGCTTTGCTGTTGAATTGCATATTGCAATTAGCTAAAATAATTGGAATAACTCTTTTTCTCTTGACACTATTTATGGGCATTCCTATTTTGCTCTCATGAAACCATTAAAAAATATCTGTAGAATGAATCATTTACCCTCGTAATTTTTATGAAGAGCCTATAAAGCCGCAGTTTTGTTTGAGGTTTTGTCAGAGAGCTACTTCATATGCCTGACTTTGCCCTAAAAAGGATCTTTTTTGCCACAGAAAGACTTTCAAGTGGATTTGTTATGCAGTCATGTAATTAAGGAAGAGTGAGAACATTTCTGATCTGGCAGCTGTTTGGAATGTGGAAACAGCTGCTGGAAAAGGCAGCGTTCCTTTTTGTTTAACTGTTGGAATTTACAAAACAAATTAATGGAACAAGAAAATGATGAGACTTTTAATTGCTGTAGTTTCCTCCAAGTGTATTTTCCATCAGTAAATTTTGAGTGCATTCGGGATTTGTTTCAACTTTCTGCAAGTTGGAATCTGGCAAAGAGGGGAATGGGAAAAGCTGTCACAGATTAGTAGAACTGCTTCTCCCCCCGCCCACACGAGGTAAATGACTTTATTAGCCATTAATAACAGCTCCCTGGACACTTCTGCTTAGACAGGCTGTTTGTGACTACTTATTGCAAAGTTAAAAACAGGTAGATGTTAAACATGATGGAAGGAAGCAATAAATGTCATTGGAAGGTTAGTAATCTTGTTCGTATGGACTTCCTTATATTTTCATAGTAACTACAAGATTGATCCATGGAATCTTAATAAAAAGCGTTTTCAGTTGAGGGTTTGCTGAATAGTTGTAGTTTACATAAGAAACTTTGAAAATCGGCAATGGTCTGTTGATTCAGAAAGTTTGGGAACCATTGTTTTATGTTGCAATAGCCAGATACTTTATTTTAAATATATGGTACAGTTTACTTTATGTGGCTCTTTATGAAGCTGAAGAAAACTCAGGGTTTTCAATTGTTTATCTGACTTCACCTGAGTACTCTGAAAATAGTCACCTGAATAATGAGAAATTCTGCAAAATTCTGAAAGTGAACTACTGTGAGACTTGAAGAAATACTAGCCTGCTCATAAAGCTGCTTCCACAGGCTGGGCACATACAGATAAGGGATCAATTAAGACCACAGCCTGTGTATGGTTCTATATTATCTGTTAGCAAAACAAAAATGTAAAGGCAATCATATAAGCAGAGCTCCGTTAGTATCTTCATGTAAATATTAATTTAATCCGAGCTTTTTTTCTCTTTTGGTTTTATTGAAATTTTATTTTATAGATCCTAAAATTGCAAAATATTCCTTCACACACCATCATATTCTTTAATGATTTGGAAATGGTAATTTTCCCCAAAAACTGACCCATCAGTTAGACTCCTTTTGTTGGGCCAGACTGAAGGAGAAGAAATTTTCATGTGCTTTGGGAATGATTTGTACAGATTGTGCTAATTTTTTAAACAATTTCAAATCTAACAGTAGAGTTGATGTTAAGGGAAACCTCAAGCATGTTTGTGAAACAATGGTGCTAATTAAGAACCTTTGGTGTAACATGGCAAACAATCTGATCAGAGATAAAAATTTTCCATGAGCTAGAATAAACAAATGAGCGTTTTCAAACTGTTGTATTTGACCTTTTTTTTGCACCTTGTTGTAATTAATGATAGTATTCCTTAGCCTTGTTGTAATTAATGATAGTATTCCTTAGACTTTCCTGAGAAGTTAGTCCAATGCTGAATACTTCTAGAAATTGTTCCGATACTTTTTTAATTGCAGCCTTTTACATTGGTTCTCAAACTGGGTTTTGTGATGTGAATTTGCTTCTTGAGGGAAGTAATTCTAAGCCTGGTGATATTTAGTAGTTCTATTATTTATAAATAGAGCAATCCTACTCACTAAGGAATTTTTTTCAAAACTAGAGGTAGCACAAAAATGATGTTTGCTTTGAACTAAAAGACATTAATGAAATTTCCAGTTTGGGTAAAACTGAAAAGCTATTATGTTCTTGTGCTTATATTTCTTGGCTTTTGATTTAGAAGCGTATGGAAATGAGTTTTTACCTTGATGGTGCCTTTGCTAAACTGATTATGTTGTCCCATAAGTTGAGTTCCTCATCTCCTTTGAAGCAGTGTTATCTTTTATGATGTGTGCTTTCATTGTTTGGAAAATACTGTCCACCAGAAAGCTCGTTTAGGGTGTCTATTGTTGGCTTTGGGACACTGCTTCTTTATCAGCCATGAATTGAGTATAATTTGTCAACTTCCTCATCCATTTGTTCTGAACAGTCTCATTAAGGAGGGTTGAAAGTCTAATTGCCCCAAGTCTTTATCCATGAGAAGCGAAGAACAAAACATGTTCAGTAAAGAGAAACTTGGATTTGCAACTCTAATAAACTATAAAAGACATGTATTTGGATGAAATATGTAGTCCTCTTTGTTCTTTCTGCTCTCATAATTTTGTTCTGAAAAAAAGTCTAAAAGCACATGTGCCTTCAGCTCTACTCAATCCCACCAATTCATTACTGTTAGAATAGGAAAAACATAGCCTCCTTTCTTAGAGGGATGCAGAATGAGTTCTTTAGCATTTGATAAACAATTTTTTTAATGAAGACAACAGCAGAAAATTTTTACAGTTACTTTATTGGTGATGTACACAGTCAAATACGAATGTCAAAAGTACAATGATTGACCTACACCTTGTATTTATTTTTCACTTATTATGAAAGGTCCAGATAACCCAAGTAATTTATCTTTTGAGGTTTTTATTCTAAGCAGTGTGCCTTTATCTTAAAACCATATGGTCTATAGTGGTAGATGTTTACTAACCTGTTAGCTGTGTAACACATCTGCCTTTTTGTTCTCCCTCTCCCATGACGCACAGCTGGACTTTTTTCACCGATTTCCCTCCTTTACCTTTCTCACCTAACTGGCTTTCTATAAAGTTTTAGCCCTCTGCGTGTTTAGTTTATTAGTGCTCTTTGTGCCTATTGAAAAATCTGTTTCCGCACAGACCCTACTTAAGGAAAATTTAGGGAATGAGAATTTCCTGGATCCAGTTCCTGGCATTGCAGGTGCCTGCAGGCTGAAGTGTTGTCTTCCTCTTTGTTACTGCACCTAGTTTCCAGTGTGTGCCCAGTAGAGGACACTGCTATAGTTACAAATACTTATTTTTCCTCTTAAACCCGCAAAACTCCAGCTTTAAAAGTATTTTGTTTGTCTGTGACTGCAAGTAATCTCTTCTAAGCCCGAGAGGGATTTAATATGCATTTCGGTTAATACAAAACTTGAGGGGAAGACCTAATGTTTTTATTTCGGGCTTAAACAACACACACAGATATCTGATCGTGTTAAAGATCTACCTAATATTTTTAAGGGCAAAATTTAGCTTAGTATTCACGAGGCCACTGAATGGAACAAGTGGGGGGGTTGACTTTTCTTCATTTCCTTAACTTTGTTTTAGAAAATTTCCCTCAATCTTTCCTTTCCTTGTAGTTATGGTCCACAGAGGGC